CCACAGATATTAATTTCTTCATATTCCAATATTGCGAGTGCCAGGATCTTTGGTATGATTTGTTTTAAATATGATGTATTTCCATAACCATGTTTGCTGACATAGAATTGCTTTAGGCTTATAATACTAGTGCTATACTACTAGAAATATGGAGAATATCTACTACAATATCTATATGGCAAGACATTATATAACAGCGAATCATTAATTGAAAACCAGTATTATTTCGAAGGTATTACTTCACTTAAAGTAATCCTTCACTTATGACCACAATTGAGCCCCAAATTTCTGTTGCTAAGTGAAACCTTTTGCCCCATTTTACCACCTTTCTTGCCAATTGTTAAGCAAATCGATGTACCACACTGCATTAAGTTAGTAACATGGTTGTTAAGTGAATCTGGTTTCCCCATTGACTTTGCTTTTGTCAGAAGGTCGCACTGCAACTATCATAAATATGAGTCAATTGCCAAGCGTGTGAATTTTAATGATATGACCATAGGGATGCTGCAATGGTCATGTGAAAAATGGTCATAACTCACTTTTTTCAATGCTGTTGTAACTTCGAACAGTCACTAAATGAACGATTATAAGTCGAGGACTACCTGTATAGGGTAGTTTGCGCTTTTGCACTTCCGCGGCATAAAAAATGCAGGATGGATAGGCTGCTAAATTGGCCAAAAGACAAGAAGGGACCATCCAAGCAGAATATTGCAAGTATCATTTAAAAACTGCCGTCCTCGTCTTCCCACTTGTTGAAAATAAATCCAAACCTATGTTTGTTTCTTGAAAACATTTTAGTTATGCTTGTTTATTTATTAAACCTATTATGGCCATTCACTCTGGAACACTCTTGCTTTACATTCCTTGATTCAATGTAATTTATACTTCCAAGAATGTAGGTTGAGGATTTTAACCTGTTTATACAGAGTATTTCAATTGAAGATTATTTCCAAAAAAATATGCTTTGCAATTTACCATTTGTTGTGGATCAGTTTTGTTGTGAATATCTTAAGATACCATTCTTAATAACAATTTGAACACCGTTGGATATACGGTAATTCAGAGAAGCATTACCCAATGCTTGCATACTAATATAGTTCTATACTGTAATGTCATTTGCTTAAATCTGCCATATTTATGGAGTTAGCTTCTTTAACCCTTTAAATGATTTAGAAGCCGTACTCACTCTACAATTTTTAAAATGTTGTCCATTAACCTTTCTTGAATTGGCTATATGGTGTTGTTTCCATTAGTTCAAGAGAGTTAAGCTAATGTGGTTAATATTATTATTTACCTCTGCAATGACAGATATGAAAAATGTGAGCTATTTATACTGAACTGTTGAGTGCAGCCTAAAATAATTTCTTTAATAAACTAGTATAGATGTGTAAAATGGAAATATTACCAAATCATAAATCAATGGGTTCGCTGACTATAAGCAGAGCCAGAATTAAAATAGCCACACAAATCACTCTGATTGATGGAAGGCTCAGATTTGTCAAATATATCAAAAGGCAAGCCACTTTTTAACTGTAGAACATTTCTATTTATTAAATTTATTTTGGGGCTTCATAGGTAGAATATTTTATTTTGCAATGACAACAACAACAAACTAAGGGGGAAAAAATCTCAGCATACTCTTGATTTTGGGTGTGCCAACAAACAGATCTTTAGCCTATATGTTTAAAAATAAACACAAAGAAAGACATAAAAGTACCAATTCATTATCATTTTTGCAATATAAATTTCCAAATAAGGAAATGAGTGCAATTATATAAATGTTTTAGGGTGCCCAGGCAGGTATCTCAAAATATGGGGATTATATCTGTTTACCTGAAAACCAGAAAGAGAATTGCTTACAAGAAGTCTTAAGTAGTCCCTTCAGTTGTTTTCAATGATGGAACTTCATTCTCTTAAAGAGTACCTCTGTATCTGACATTTGAAAATCCCTGAAATATTTATTTAAAGAAAATAATAAAGTGCACACAGTTACAGTTCACAACGTAATGGGTAGAACTGAGAAGATTCTCTTAGTAATTTCACTTACAACAGCCAGGTGCCCACTCTTTAGACTTACAATCTGCAGCATGTTTCTTTGGAAGTAAATCCCACTTCTATGTGTTTTGGATTCTGGCCTTATCCATTTAATGGTAAGATCCATTGACTTTATTATAAAAAGAAAACACAATTTAATGAGTTTGCATTCTACACAATTTGTATTTTAAATGGTGAAACTGCCCAGCAGTATCATAGCTAGAATTATGCAAACATCTAATACATTTGATTGGCAAGAACTGTCAGAACCAAGCTACCAGAACACTGATTTTGCTGAAACCAGGTGCTCTCCTTAGAAAGTCTTAAGGGGATTTACTTTTAGGACTGTGCAAAGAAGTTGAAAAGGACACTGCAAAACACATTGATTTGAACAAACCATTCCCAAAACTTTGAGGCAACTATACACAAAAGGCTTCACATATCTGCTTTGAACGTTTTCCAAGGTGCCCTGAATGTCCATGTACAGACATTTCCATTGGGACTGTCAGTAAAACAAAGTAGCTATAGATCACACAGAGATGACCTAGAAAAATCAACTGTATTGAAACTTCTCGGGTGTTTGGCTACCCCTGGGCTACCCTAAGAGAATTGGTTACTATCACACCCCTTCTAAGACTTTGGAGTAAACATGCTTACGGTTATGTGACAATACCCATCTTTTGCTGAGTTTAAAACCACTTTCTCCTATGTTACTCTAGGTTAAAAAAGTGAAAGGAACATTTTAAATAATAAAAAGCAGAACTGATGTGATATACTAAATTACAAGTCCTTGACTTGCAACCATTCATTTAATGACCATTTGAAGTTACAATGGCACTGAAAAGTGACTTACGACCGGTTTTCATGAGGTCATGTGATCAAAATTTGGGCACTTGGCAACTGGCATGTATTTATTAGTTACATTGTCCCAAGGTCATGTGATCACGATTTGTAACCTTCCTGACTAGCAAAGTCAATGGGGGAAGCCAGATTCACTTAACGCCCACATGATTCACTTAACAACAGGAGTGATTTTCTTAGCTGTGGCAAAAAAAAGATTGAAAATGGGATGCGACTCACTTAACAAATGTCTTGCTTTGGCTCAATTGTGGTCATAAGTCAAGGACTACCTGTACAGTAAGTTCTTGCTTAACAACCAGAATTAAGACTGGCAACCTCATCACTGAATGACATGGTCACTGAAGAAGACATCACTTGACCATTTCTACTATTGTAGTCATTAAGCGAGATATTATGTGACAGTAACTTGCAATTTTATTCCACTGACTCTGTTTATTGAAAGCAAAAATGGTGATCATATGATAATGGAATATTTGGCCTAGAATTAAGGGGTAGGCAACCTTGGCTCTTTTATGACCCGTGGACTTCAACTCCTATGAGTCATAAAAGAGCCACGGTTGCCTATCCCTGGCCTAGGTACTGCAAACTGCCTGTAGCTTGATCATGTGATCATGGGGGTGCTGTGATATAAAGTTAGTTTTTAAGCACAAATGGTCACTAAACAGGGTAGTCGTTTAGCAAGGATTACCTGTAGTACCTTCTAGATCCCTGTGTTCTGTTTTCACTCTGAGGGATTGCAACCAAGTATTTCTCTACACTTCCACATCTGAAGCACAGTAACATTTGATAAAGATGTGCAGAAATCGGCGAACAATCTGCTTTGGAGTTAGAACTGGCACTGGATTAGTGTAGCCTTGAGTATGTAGACTTTACTGAATGTTTACAGAAGGTAGAAAGAGAGAGAAGACTTGGGAATGAACTAACCTAACATTTTGCTCAGGTCTGCATGTTGCAAAGCAACATTTATTTTGCAAGTTACCTAATAAAAATAGCAGGAAGAAAATAAATTTCTCTTCAAACTGCACCTTTAGTTCGTAACTTCACACCATTACTATGTATACTGATTAGAATGCCAGTAAAAATGTCTAGAAGTTGGAGATAAATCAGAGCAGTTAATATGGTCCCTCAATTTGCTGGCCTCTTTTAACATGCCAGTCAAAGCATGTTAAAGCTATTTCTTTTTAAAATTTGGTTCACCTTGATAAGGCATTCCTGTTGCCCTCAATTTTAAAGATAAATCATAATGCTTAATAGAATATTTACTAAGTTTCTTGTCAGAGTGAACTACAGGATGTTCAATGTGCTAAAATTAGCAGTATTTTATATTTATATGCCAGGAATATTTTTATTTCTTCTATATCAGTAGTCTTTCAGAAAATAAATCAGTTGTATGATTTTATATTGTAATTATAAGATTAAACAATTTTAAATTAATGGAGCTGAAAATAAAAATTGCCAACTCAATTTCAGTTTTGATTTTTTTCCTAATCAATTCCTACTCAACCTAAATTCAACTCCACACAGCAGATACATGTGCTACAAGTAGTTGTACAAAGTGAGTGATGGTACATGGGATATGGATATTTTGCCTAACTCCAAGGCCTCTTAAGGATACAGTTTACAATGGCACGGCTTTCTCTAGCCAGCTCATATGAATAACTGAGTTTCAGACAGGTAATACAAATAAGGACTATCCAACTAGAGAATGTGTATGTTAGAGATGATGGCAGCAAAAGTGTTCAGATTCTTGTTAAGGTTTGCATATTCTGCTACATAGGAGACACATATAGGATATGATGGCTTTTTGAATTTTGAATTTTCCTAACCCTGAAATATTGCTGCCAAAATGCTTGGGGGAAAAAAAAAAAAGAACAAATAGGCTGAAAGTGACAAAGATTTGGCAACAGCCAAAACTGAGCTACATTTGTATAAGAAGCCTCTTAAATTGCTGTGAATGAAAATAACGGGATTTCATTTCTATGGCATCACTATCAGAAACAAAGCTACCAGCATCAATTGATCTAAAACATTGTTAGTTCACTCCGCATGAAGAATGTTACAGCACATCTAGAATAATAGACAAAGCTTACAGCTCATAATTTCTCTCCTTGCATTTCACATTGTCTGTATTTATGTCGATATACTATTAAGCAGCTTCTCCTTCCACATTAATGCCCACCAAGCAGATTTGAGAGGAAGCCTGAAGACTTCTTCTTTTCCTGTGGCTCCGCCTTTGGGCTTTTGGTAGGTACCAGTTCACTTTCCATGTGTTCAAGCTCTGACTGGTCAAGCAGTTCAAAATCATCTCCTTCTTCTGCATCTGCCTCTTCACTTATACTTGGGACTTCCTGCACAGATTGCAACTGTTCTCTGACGGCTGCTGCTACCACTGATGTAACAACATCGCCAGCAATTGCTGTCACCAAGCTGAAGGCCTGGTCGTTGATCAAAGACAAGGAAAGGCCTGCTGCAGAGTGCCCCTCCTTATCCTGCCTGTGACACTGGTCCAATGGGGTTGGGGGATGAGCTTTTTTTCTCTTATGCCGAACTGGCAAGCCAATGCTTGAATCATCATCATCGTTTGTTCCAGCACCACTTTCTACAGATGGAAATTCTGCAAGATCCTTTGCAAAAGCTTCCTCGTGGTCACTTGGCCGATCAAAATCTACTGAAGGGTGAACAAGACATGTGGTTATAAATCAATTGCCACAACTGCAGCCATAACCTTTAAGTTTTCTTTCCGAGGTATGATGCTGAACAATTTTCTTTTTAGAAAAAAGGAACAAAAAACAAGTTCAGTTTCAGCAACCTTCAGAAACGAAAATGTAAGGCTTAAATCCATTAAAAAAAAGGCTTGATCCACAGTGAATTAAAGTGTCAGTTAACAGGACAGGACATCTATTTATCCAAATACAGACTGCAATACCATAAATGTTTGAGGAGAGGGAGAGAAAGGGAAGCAAGAGGACTGGCATAAAGACTGACAGGCCTCAAGAGTTAAATATCAATAAATAAATTCCATTTATGTCAATTTCGACGAGAACTTTTCGTAAGTTTACGAAGTCGATGATGTCTTGTGTCGACGTACCCAACATTTACCACGACCGACAATTCGTATACATTGTAACGAGGTACCCGACGTAACCAACGGTCACTCCCTGATAGAAGAGGGTCAACAAAGATGGGTAGGTTAAGGTAGAACGTCCTATCCGTGCGAACCGGGGTCAGCCAAGGAATCCTGGCTGGCAGGGATAAGGAGACATGCCCTTTAGAACATCCTCCCTCCTGAGATTAGGATGCCTTGAAAATTTTGGCCTTTTGGAAAACCTCGCAGACCTGGCTATGTACCTGGGCCTCAGTTTCCAGGTGTGTAAAGGGCTCCATTTCCTGGTTATGTTGACATTGATGGATTATAATATTTGTTGGTTGGTACTGGTATTTAATTTCTTGTTTCTGTTCTGTTTAACAGTTTTTATGATTGTTCACCACCCAGAGTCACTGGTTTGGCTATACAAATTGAATAAACAAACAGGGTAACGTGTTGGATATATATACATACATACATATATACATACATACATATATGTACTGTATGTATATATATATATATATATGTGTGTGTGTGTGTGTGTGTATGTATATACACATACATACATACATACATACATACATACATACATACATACATATATATATTCAAAAACTAAAACACAGATCACTGAGACTAAAAATTTATTAAAAATTTAGCTTTCGTCAGCGTCTGCTAACATCATCAGAATTCTAGCCAGGATTGAGAATCATGTTCTTATTTATTTATTTTTATTTATTATTTATATTTCTACCCCGCCCTTCTCCCTGCGGACTCAGGGCAGCTTACAGCCTTTTAAAAACAAATACATAGATACAAAAATACTAAAGTTAAAATGTTAATTAAAATGAAATATTATTAGGCCATTATTATTTTTTTTTTAAAAATTATTATAAAACCAAGCTAAAAATAACCCTTAGGCCAGTCCTGCCAACTTAAATAGCCATGTCTTGAGGGCGCGGCGGAAGGAGGGGAGATCCGGGATCACCCGGATCTCTGGGGGTAGTTCGTTCCATAGGGTGGGAGCTCCAACCGAGAAGGCCCTCCCCCTGGGGGTCGCCAGCCGGCACTGTC